ATACGATGCTCTCTGACCTTAAGACCTCCACTCTGCATCCTTTGTGCAACCTGTCCTCTCTGCACCTGGCTCACACATATTCTTTCTTAAGGTGGACCCCAGGCTGTGTTTCTATGGAGCCTCCCATACCCCAAATGCATCCTTTCTCACCTCCTTCTCCATGTTCCCCCATACTGTGTAGCTGTCTGTACCTCTGTGCTCATTATACCCACAAGAAATACTTTCACTTGGGCTTAGCCTTCATGCTGAGCAATCTGGTTCAAAATGACTCCCTGTTGGTCTTTGAGCTTTCTAAATTGGGAGTTGGTTTTTACAACTCTCTCTGTTCCTAGTATTTAGCAAAATATTCTTTCAACACATAGTAAGAAATCAACAATTGGATAGAGACAGAGATATATAGAGAGACAGAGAGAGAGAGAGAGAGACAGAGAGAGAGAGAGAGAGAGAGAGAGACAGAGGTGTTTAATCAGTCATCATTATTTAATCACATAGAGTAAGACCAAACTACAGAAAGGATAACAAACTACAGAAGGGTAAATAGGATAACACGTTGAAGGAAAATCATTGTCTTTCACTTGCAGACATTAAAAATATTAAAATTTATCAACTAATATATACTTTATGATAAATTACTATGCAAAGTTTACTTGATGATATCAAGAGTTGTAACATGACACCATCTAGTTGATGACTATACTGTAAAAGTTAAGTGACATTTCTGGGTAATGTACCATTAGTTGCCAAATGAAGATTGTAGTCAGTAAGCTTTCTAAGGTTACATGACAAAAGACACCCCCTTGGACTAAGTGTGGAGGAAATAAGATTCATGCCAGACTTTGAAAGATGGCTCAAAGTAATTTCGGTTGGTCAAACCAATCCAATCATGTTCCCTTCACCCACTTACCTCTCATTACAGCTCTGTTTTGCCAACTAACTGCACCAGTTATATCTCACTTCCTCTTTCCTACTTCTCTATCTGATTACAGATAGAGAATATGATTACAATCCATATAGACATGAATCAAGTTCTACATTCATCCTCTTCTCATCTAATGTTTTCTCCACAGCTAACTTTGTTCTGAAGATACTAGATTTTAAATCCCTGGTTTATCCTCAAATCAGGATCTCAAGCACCAGCCTCTTACCTGAGCCCATTCCATACCCCCGTCCCCAGGCATTTCTCCTTCCTGGAGAATCAACTCCACCAACACAACTTTCCAGGCTCCAAGACTCCAAAACTCTTCCTGCAAAATGGCAACTTCTGAAGACTTCTTGTGTCTCCCCACTCTGCTCCTGTACTTTCCTGAATTGACTGGTGACATCACTTTCTTTAAAATCACCTCAGCTTGAAAGCCTAGCCCTGGAGGATCTCTCCTTCTTCCCAACCCCACACTTCCTTCAAGATCTGTCTGTGAGCCCCTATTGTAGGCATTGCCTCCCTCATCAGATCTCCCACAGGATGCTGGTGTTCTTCTCAAGACCTGCCAAGGATATTTCATTATGATTATTTATACCTGCATATCCTCTAATTTGGGTTACTATAAAGAACCCCAAGCTGTTGGCCTCAGTGCTCTCTCACATAGGAATCTCTTATCAGGCTGCTGTGTGACCACTGACACATTACCCACAGATACTGTTGCCAGTGGTCAGAACACAGAACAGGGAGAGAAGAACCTTGAGCCTTTGGCAACCTCCGCATGACATGGTTGGCTGGAGGTAATGAATAGCAAAGGAGATCAAGGGAGAATGACTAAAGAAAATGCAGAAGAGTATGTTAAGGGGGGCTGGTTCTCAAAAGACAGTAAGAAACCTAATAAAGTTAGGAGTAGTCAGTAGTGACTGAAAGATCAAGAAGCCAAAATGCTAGATCAGCAAGGAGTTACCAGCAAAATCCTTAGTGATCTTTTAGTTTTGATCTTTTGAAATCTATTTTTAACATAAATTTATTTTTACAATATGAAAGTATATACATAAACATATGAAAATATGTACATAGAAATAAACAGATATAAAAACATATACTAGAGATTTAGCTACCTCTATAAATATATAGATAGGTGATAGTATCATGAGATCTATTGGCAAGTAAACGAGGGCACTTAACTTGGATTGCAATTGATTACAATCCGAAAATAGCATTAATATCAGTTTTCCATTCAAACATAACTACATTTGGTCTCTCTCATAGTGCATTAGTCAAGAAAGGGACTGGTGAGATAGGGGATGAGCAACGGTATTAAAGGCCACAGGGCGGTCCAGGCAGGCGGCCAGGAAGCAGACTCATTCCTGGAATGATGGGGAGCTAGCGGGGTCTTCCCTACTGTGCTGCACAGAGAAGAGGGTGTGGGAGAAGATGAAATTTCAAGGAAAGAGTAAGTGATAAAAAAACTGAAAAGTAAAGCACAAAAAAGAGAGTGAGGGTGTCAGTAACACAGGAAAATTCTGGAGAAGGTGGGAGAGAGAAGGTAGATGGATATTAGCACATTAGTGAACGATAAAGGGAAATAAGTTCAGTGCTGTGCTATTTATTAAGTAGTATGCAAAATACTTCCCCTGTTTTTATCTGTTTTTGACCTATTTTTATTTTCTTTGGGCTCTTCTGAAGATGAAGATCTTTTTTTAAGTCTATTGCCTTTCCTCATCTAATAATTGCTTCTACTTTTCAGTGTTTATTAAAAAGGCAGTTTATCAGACCCAAGAATGCACAGGCATTAAAGGTGAAAAACAGAAGCTGTACTTTGAGCCCCTCCAAAGAAAAGCACTTTAGAAATCAAAAGCATTGCTATATTGTTATTATTCAGTTTTTCCCTTGAAAGCTTGGCATGACATTATCTCTGATCTTCAAAGAGAAGATTAGCTATTATATTAATAACCTGTGACTCTAAAACCAAGAATGAGTATCTAAATTGACCAACCAAGTCAGATAATTTCCTCTTCTCCTTAATTCTGGAGCTGTGGATCCAAGCCAGTGATCATAAATAAGAGCATTGTAACTCATTTTATCTTTCATCTAAATCACATCCAGCAGTGCATAAATGGTAAAGTCTCACTGCCAGGAGCTGCCAGTTCTCTGCAAACCGATCTACAAGCTCAATGGGAATAGAAAATATGGGATGTTGGCTCATGAATGATCCTTGCATATTTTCACACAGCTACACAACTAGTTGCTTATTACAATGACAATTTACATTGATATTGAAATAACAAATAGAAGACAAAAATAAGTTATTTTGGAAATAAGTAATAAATAATTCTAAGAAAAATATCAGTTATTATCTATAAAGACTTTAACTGGATAGATCTTATAATATTTATGAAAAAAATTGTCATTAGCAGAACTTCTACTTCACATTTTCCCTGTTTAGGTAGGCTATGAAAGATAGCTATAGAGAAATGCCTAATACTAACAGAAAAGGAATATTTTGAACATTGTGGAATATCTTAAATTAGAAATATTTCCATTCTTGGAAGTTCATGTAATTGGAAGTCACCTGTAGATGAAGTTTACAAGGAAAAACTTTAACAGAAGGTAGATGTGACTCCAAGTTGTGATGACTCAATATGTACAATAATTTCATATACAGTATATCTCTAATCCAGTCTCAATGATAGGTGTGAATAAAAAGCCACTTGAGGTCTTTGTGTCTGTTGACCAATTGAAGGTTATTTATATCCTGATAGTCAATAAAAATTATACTGAGAATATCTATTTCCATCATCTGAAAAGGAGTCATTAGAAGATTGCATAGCAGATGAAATTTTTACAAAATAGATCAATCTAACATTAAACATCTACATAGTTTAAGAGAACTTTCTTTTCTAGTAGTGGGAAGTAAGAACACATGGTGATATTCTAGGAGACATAAAAACTTTTAGAGAAATAAAGCCATACCATAAGAGAGACCCATTTTCTTTCTGTGGTAGTTAGTGATGACATAGATTCTATTCATCTGTAGAACATGAATCTTTAGCTGGGGATTTAGCTCAGTGGCATGAGCACCTCCCTGGCAAGCACTAGGTCCTGAGTTTGGTCATCAGTTTAAAAAAAAAAAAAAAGAACATGCTTCTTTAAATTCCACAGCATAAGCTGTATGTTTTGTTCAATGATAAACTCCAAAATTCCAGAACACTATCATGCTCTGCAATTTTAGGTAGATCGATGATTGATCACTCTCCACAACAACAAATGAGTACAAAACACACATTCATCACTTTATCTTTACAAGGAGCTGGTCACTCCCCACCCGGTCATCTGGGTCCCATTTAGCCTAGAAGCAGCTAACTACCAGGGGCCCACACTGCAACAATTACCTGCCGCTCACCGCTGCTTTCTCTCTCCGCCACTAACAGGGGTTGAATTGTGTTCCCTCCTAACCCCACCTCAGAAAGTAAGCTGATTTGAACATAAGGACATTGCGGATGTCATTAGTTAAGTTAGGATGAGGTCACGCTAGAATAGAAAGGAAATTTCACACTATATGACTGGTATTCCTAAAATTTATTCTTAAAAAAAGGAAATTTGACTCAGGCACAAAGAATGCTGCATGAAGGTGAAGGCAGAGGTGGGGAATGAAACCTGTATGAATGAGGGACTGTCGGAGATTGCCAGGAAACCACCAGCATTTGCAGGAGGGCACTGGACAGACTCCCTCACAGCCCCCAAAAGAAACCCACCCTGCTAGGGCCTCAGTTTAGGACTTCTCACATCCCAGAACCATGCAGTAGTAAGTTTGTTGTTTAAGTCATCAAATTTGTGGCATTTTCTTATGGTAATTCTAGAAAACTAATACAGTCACCAACTTACTGTAGCTTTTCTGATTTCCTGCCAGAGGAACTTGTAACCCTGACCTCACTCAACACTGGGCACTGTCTTGTTCACAGCCCAAACCTCACAAAATTGCCTCCAATTTATTTCAAAGCATTCACAATTATATGTTGTCAGTGTCTGACATGTACTTCCACCAGTGGCACAGCAATTACATCTGACATCTTCCCCTCACCTTCTGCTGGCTTCTGTGTTCAGGCTGGTGCTGCTACCCGGAGGGGGTGGTGGAAACCAAGACTGTCTGTTAAGAAATGACATCAGTTACAAAGATGGAGCTTGAAAAGTGATCCCCACCTTCATGTTTTTCAGGAAAAGATAGAACTAATTTGACAATTCAAAAGGCAATGAGATTACTTTTTTTTTAGAAAGGGCATTGGTAATAAAATGAACACTGTCATAAATAAAACAGAGCATAACTATCCAGACTCTCCCTCGTCCGAGGAAACTCATTCTCTTGTTTATTTTAGCACTAAACCATATGAATGTTTCCTTAAAGAGAAATATAAAGAAATATAAAGAATAACAATAGATACAGCTAGACAACAGGTTTATATGTTTTTATCATGTTATATTCCCCATTTTCCTGCCTGCTTGAACTACTTGAACTATAACAATGACAATCTGAAGTTGTACTCAAAATACAATTTTTTTAAAAATTATATGATAGAAAACTCTGACAAGAATTTTGAAATCATAAAAGCAAGAATAACCTTAAATTTAACCTCAATTTTAAAAATGTCTTCACATTACAAGGAAGTAATTTTAATTGGTAGCAATAATCAAGGCTTCGGTCAAGACTAACATAATGAAGATGGAGGACCCAAAATTATAATGTGCAGAGGGTGATTTGCACTAGCAAAGGAAAGGCCAGGGAAAGGACCAGAGCACACTTTTAAATCCTTGAAGCAGGTCTGTTCCCTGAGCACCAGAGGACTGAACTAGGACCAGATGAGAATCACCTGATGCAAATTCAGGGTGAATGTAAAGACTAGAGCTCCCCATGGGAACTAGTTGGGTTGTGTCACTGAATAGTGACAGCCTCACTGTCAGTTTCAGTGGTCCTGAATAACAGCTGGTCACAGAGGAGACAAACATTCTTGCAATGTGTAGGAAGTTTAAGTGACTGATCTTAAATTTCTCTTTCAACTTTGGAATCTGTTTTGTTTTTGTTTTTGTTTTTACAGCAAGCAGTAATATAATTATTTTTAGCAGACCAGGGCTCAAGGGGAAATTTGGGTTCAAGAGAAAGGTGATTCACATTCTGTGAGATTCTTCAGATACAACCAGAATCCTGACTACACGATAAATAAAGGTGATCAGTCTTCTGTCCCCAAAAGGACTATAGTGGTATCATGAGAAAGTCAGTGAGTTCATCAACAAATACTGGGTGTCTACCTTACACCATGTAAAGTCCTAGATGCCCATAAAAAAAAAAAATGCCAAAAAAAAAAAAGAAAGCAAAAAATTAGAGCACCAAGGTTTGGGCATGCCTGTTTTTCATCTGTGTCATGATTCCCTAGCATTGTGCCCTCTTCAGCAGGCAAAAGTCTCTTCCCTAGTCACGTTCTGTCTCCTGAAGAATATTCCTCCACCACGGAATACCTAGTAGACACAGCACAAGCAGCATGTGTGAGGCCACGCAGTGGAGGCTGGCTGGAGAGCTGACACTTACACAAACACAGGTGTCCTCAGGAAGAGCCTGTGAGTCTACCTGGAAACAGAATCCTCCCAGTCTACAGAGTGGGATGTGGCTCTGGGTGTGGGCTGCTTTCAGGAGTTGGTGACATGTGGCTACATGACAATAATTATTTCAGGGTGAAACATTCTCTGTAATAGTGCCCTATAACACTGAGCATGCCATCAAAAACATCACCTAGAAAGTCAAAGCCCTAAAGTAATGGGGAAAAGGACTGAAGTGTGAGCACTGTGGAACAGAGGCACTGGGGCCCTGGAAGAGAAGAAGCAAGATGGAGCTTCCCGACTCTGTCTGAGAGCCTTGGTGGGAGTTTGGTGCAGGCATTAGTAAGGAACTGCCTCTGTGTGGTCAGCAAGACACAAGGGCGGCCTACCTCTTTTTCTTCACAGGACTGGCAGCGGGGACGGAACCTGTGGAGTGGGAGGTGCTTGCACTCAAACTGCCAGGTTGCCTGTTCAACGACAAGAACAACAAATCGTCACCCTCCTCCAGCTGACTCTTCCCACCCTTCTTAAAGCAGTTCTACAATCTGCTCAGACACCCACTGCTGTCGCGCCATCACATACTGGCTCAATTGAGGTGGAAAAGCAATCTGTAAAAATAATGCATTACTTTAACCACTTTGTAAACTGCCAGGCTCTCATTTAGTTACAAACTCACAGAATGGCGTGAAGAAGTCCTTCATACGATGATGGTGAAGGACTTGTCTGAAATTCCTGCCAGCCCATTCTGGTGTGGTATAGATTCATGCTGTTTTAATCTCATAAATATATTGTGATGAACACAATTATCCTACAGTTTTACACTAAAAATGTTTGTTTAAGAAAAAACTTTAAAATCATCCCACTTTAAGTTTCCACTTAGCATTCATTAATATATGCAGAGCCATGAAAATAGAAGTGACCCACCCCTGTGTTGAGCACTGAGTGCTAAGCACCAGCATGACTTTATACATAAAATACACATTTAAAACTAATTTAGTGTAAAAGTTCATCTAATTTGGGTTGCTTGTAACAGCCAGTAAAAGGAAAGTGTATCTCATCTAAATAAATTGTTAGCAGACCTGTGATTTCATGGCATGATTTATTTTCAAGAAAGAACTGCTTTATATGAAGGGGTTTGGTAAGAAATAAAGAATTACGGAAAAAAGAGAATCCAAAGTAAAAGATGTTCCATGGAGAACAAAGCAGAGTCTAAATTAAAAAGAAGAAGAAAAAGGAAAAACCTAAGTTTTGGTCATTGGGTAAAGTGGGGGTTGACAAATATTTTCAGGAGACATCCAGCCAAGAAATACCAGAACCTTTGCATTTTGGCATCTACAATAAGCTTTGCAAAACCCACAGGGTTGTGGCCATATAACAGTGACACTTGGATCTTCAGGTGTTGCCTAGTGTTTCCAAAACACATACAAAGACATATCCTTTGATTAGAAAAGCACGTAAGAGCTACAGATGTAACTTGGTGGCAGAGTGGTTGCTAGCATGTGCAAGGCCCTGAGTCCACACTCCAGTGCAGTAACAATAACACAACAGATGAAGAAGAAGAAGAAGAAGAAGAAGGAGGAGGAGGAGGAGGAGGAGGAGGAGGAGGAGGAGGAGGAGAAGGAGAAGGAGAAGGAGGAGGAGGAGAAGAACAAGAACAAGAAGAGGAACAAGAACAAGAAGAGGAACAAGAACAAGAACAAGAAGAGGAGGAAAAAAGGAGGGAGGAGAAAGGGGGAGGGAGAACAGTACATACGACTTGGTTGCAGCTGACGATCTAAATGTGGACAGGTTCCTGGTGGGAGAGAGGAAAAAGGGCACAGTTGGAGCAACAGCAAAGAATTGGCTAATTCTTGCATCCATTTGTAATTGTCCATAAAGTCAGAATTAGTATTGTGAAAAGTTAGATATCATTTAAAAGAAAAAGAAAATAAGATTTCAAAACATTTGATAGGGTGATTTCTGGATATTTTAAAATCTCATATGCTAGATTCCAAAGGGAATTTTTTTACTTCAGAAAACTTAGTGTTGGTTAATCCAAGAATTTTTAATTGATTGGGTTCAGTAGTTTTCTTCAGCACTAAGAATATAAAATTTGCTTGTGCATAAATTTGATCATCTTACCCTCAGGATACCTTAAACATGTGAAGTGTGATCAAGAATATGGTGAGCGTTTAAACTGTAAAAATGTATTACAGTGAAAGATAACATTGACGTTAATTCATCTCAAAATACTTTCTTGTTTCAAACACTCTTCTCCCATCCTGGTTCTACCTTCTGAAGCAGGTCTGGAAGTCCTCTTCAGGAGGGCCCCTAGTTGTTGCTTCCTCTGTGACCTGAATCAAATCAAACACTTGCCTTTCATGATCATTTTGACTTTGGGAAAGAACTAGAAGTCACATCAAGCAAGATTCAGAGAATAAGGAGAACATGCTGTCATGTTTTTATTTGATAGAAATTGCCAAAAAGTTTAAAATCGATCCAGGATATCAAGGCAGTCACAGAAAAGAGCATTCCCAAAAAGATTTCCAGAATTGCTTTAGAAAATTGTAAGATCAACAAATGTGTTTAAACAAGAATATTTTGAGGGTGATTAATGTCAATGTCTCTTTTTTTGTAATTTTTTTCAATTTCTATTTAAACATTCACTATGTTTTTATCACACCTACATACTAAATGTGGTAAGAATGATAACCTGAAGCCATGAGATCTCTGGATATTAAGTGAGACAATATTTTATTATAGCCATGAGCAGGAATAAAGATTTTGATCCAGAAATTTTCTGTTAAAAATATAGGATAAGGATTTATATACAATGAGACCCTGTCTTGAAAACAAAAAAGAAGAATTTATAGAAAAACATTAAGTAGGATTGACGAATAGTGAGCAAGTAAGTAACACTTAGGAAACTGTTGTACTTGGGTGAAGTTAGTAGGCACTGGTACCTATTGGTTAGTCGGTAATCCAGGGTGTTGGCTTTAGATGTTTTGGCAGCCTCATTTCTCTCTGAGATCCTTTAAAAGAAACAACACAAAAGTGGGAATAATCAAAACAAAACTGTGCGTAAACATTTCAAGCTCTTTACATGCTAGAATAGCTTTACAAATAACCTTTCTCTTCTAAAGTGAACTATTTTTCAGGTGTCAGGTTTCACAGTAAAAAACAGAGACACATGACAAAATCTACTTACAAGGCTATTTTGACACAGTCTTGAATTTTAAAAGAATGACAGCTTATGTTTGTCTCTTTGATTCACTGAGCATTTAACTCAATTTTCATATTGTATTTTTAATAATATATCTGATTAATGATAATGCTTCCTATGTGAGTAGAAGGAATCAGTAGAACACAAATATTTATTTAATTTTTTTGTGGTATAAGCAATATTTTGTGTATGTCAAACTCATTTTCTTTTCCTCTTGAGTAAGAAAATGACCACATTTAGCAAATTTAACTGCAACTAGGTTGGAATCTCTTGACTGAGTTACTGATAAAGAATGCAAGCACAGATATTATTCATCACTTGCAGACCTATGATAAAACTTTCTGCACAATCTTTCATACTCTTTTCTCCCCCCTCATCATGCCTTTGGTGTCCATGGACTGAAGATGGCATCATCAAAACTCTGAAGAAATTTAGGACCCTGAGTCACTGCATGGACTCCAGTGAATCATATCAGACTCAGGGGCATCAAGCAACTCTTATTTTGTTAAACCATCTAAATTTTCAGGGACAAGGAATAATTCAGCTACTCTACCTTCATGAATTAGTGTGCTTTGACTAATATGTTTAATTAATAAGCCCAAATGCCACCAGAAACTTCAGTCTCTTTATTCTCAAGTCTCTCAAAGAGAATAGATCTAGAAAAAATTCAGGTATATCTAGAACAAAAATCAGGGACCGTGCCATCTCGTGCCCCAGGAGTGGGGTCTCCTGACTGCAGCCCCTGCTCCTTCCTTGTCGGCTCAGATCAGACAGGAAGGTTCTTCATAAGACCTGGAGCTGTCTTCTGGAACATTCTACGGACTTGCAGAAACTGGGCTATCGGAATGTGAAACAAGGAAAACAGAGAGCAGACCCCTCTGCTGCTCCCACACTGTACATCTACCTCAGCTTTCCCTGAGCTTTCACTTTTACCATCCACTTTAGGACAAGACTTTATACAAACCGTCTCTGCCAAGATAGATAGATAATGGCTGCCACTTTCAAAAACAATCATATGGGATAAATAGGACTTAAGTGTCATTGTCATAAACTAAAAATAATTTCAGTTTCTAGATGTCATTTTAACATATTTAACTAAAATATTGGGCGATGACTCTAACATATTGAACTTTGAGTCAACTCCAAAACAGTTTCTGTTTATCATTCACAATATCACAAACTACTATTAATGCTAAAAGGAAAGAGGAAGAACTTGTAACACTTCAGAACTCCGTATTCTCCACAGAGTATTCACAGTACAAAATCCCAAAACTGTGCTTTAAAACTCATGTCTAAGGTGATCTTTGGGCCAAAGACTGGGGTAATGTCCTTGTACTAACTCAAGCCTCTTAAGCCCTGAGATATTCAGATTTCAACAACTTTGCAGTCAATCACTGTGAATACAATGTGAGGCAATCTTAAATCTTAAAAGTTCATGTGACCTTACTAGACTTTATAGTTACATGTGAGATCCTGATATGAGATAAAAACAACCTCATAAATTGCTACAGGGAAAATAATAATTTATTTAAAGCAAACAGAACTTTAATGTCAAATGATCTCAAGGTGATAACTCATGTTAAAATTAAAGTTAATAAAAATTCCAAAGTGTATATCTGTGTGGGAAACACTACCTTTAATAATAAAAAATAGCTATTTACTCTCTGCGGTCATTTTATAAAATTTTTCAATTGTTCAAAACATCCCTACAAGATAGCTGTGATTATTTTCATTTTACAGATGAAGAAATGGAGTCTAAAAGAAGTTAGATAACTTTCTCTTGGCCACACAACTTAGGAAGTAGCTCTATCTTCAAAGTTTTGTCATTGGGCTGATTTCATACATCTAATTATATAGCATGATTGACCCCAAAATGTATCCAATACATTAACATGTCTTTCCTTAATGCTGACATCTCAATTTCTTCCATACCACTGGAGGAGATGTCTAGCAACAGTAATGGTGAAAACTCTACACCACCATTCTGTGATATATATATGAATTTTTAATTTCTGAGGGATATTAACTTTGTATTTGCCAACTTGAGACATGAAATAGGTTGTTTTTATAGGAGTCCAGGAAACAGGAAATCACCAGAATGATCAAAAGACAAGTTATTCCATAACTGAGCACTAGAGGACTCCCTAACCTACATTTTCCAGATTAGTCATTTCCCCACCTTCAGAATTTGGACTAGAGTCTTCATGCTTCATGTGTTACTCTTCACTTACGGTTTCTTTAACACATTTCACATTCCTACTCAAATAAGTAAAGGAAATCCTCATGCCAAAATTCAGTGTTTTTCCTATGTTAATTAAAACTATTATTGTATAAATACACACAGGTACATGTACCAGACATATTTTATCATTTTCTTCCTGAAATGACTTCAGATCTCACATTTTGGAGTGGTCTGAATTATGGAAATATCACTTCTGCTACTGCAACTATCTTTACAGGTTACTGTGTTGTCTTCCTCACATCATGTTTACTGCCTTGAGAACAAGTTGACCAGGATATTTCTTCCAAATGTGCCACTCAATCTCTGTGTAAATAAAATCAAATAATCTCTAGTCCCATTGTCTAGTCCCATTGTCTCTAGTCCCATTAGTGCGCAAAGTAAAGATAAATAGAATAACTGTTCATTCAGCCTGATCTTGCAGGTGGTTGGATGAAATGAAAGATCTGAGCTATCCCAGTGGCTCTGAATCTTGGCTGAACATTAGACTCACTTTATGAGATTGAAAATAACGTCCAACTCTCACCTCAGGTTAGTTAAAGCAGAACATGTGGAAAGAAGTACAAGAAGACCAAGGCATCGATAAAGTTTAAAAGCTCCCTCAGAGTCTAGTTTGCAGCAAATGCTGAGCATGATGTCACACAGCTACCCTGAAGTCTACACCATTTCTCACACCCCAAGATCGGGCCTTGACTGGCCTGGCCTTTCTGATACACAGCCACAAAGGATTGAGGATTCCACATATCTACTTTTCTTGAGGTTCACTCATCTCATTTTAAAATTACTTTCTAGAAATAGGGTTTCCTACTTCAATTTGCTGTTAAATCCAACCACCTGCAAGATCAGGCTGAATGAACAGTTATTCTATTTATCTTTACTTTGTGCACTAATGTAGAGATGTAATCTTAAGCATATACTACAAACTCATTTTTTTTACAAGGATAATAAGAGATAGGCCAACTCTAGTCAATGGTCCTGTTACAGTAATTAACTTGAAAACCATGAGTCTATGCTTTTAACATTAATCAACACACATGCAATTTGAATATTAAGTGTACTAATGATTATGCATTTCACATATCTGCTTAAAATCCAACGAGTGTCATTTTTGTGTACAATAGCAGCAGGTCTTTAGCTACAAGGAGTGAGTCTACTGTCAACAGTCTTGGGTATACATTGTACCTAACTTCTGTTGAAGACGTTAACTCTGCCCCTTTCTTACCCTTCCTAAGCATTTCTCCCAAATCTAAACAAAGAATGTGACTTGTAAGATTTGCATTTCAACCTGAACAGAAGTCTCTCAGTTTTCTCTATAAGGATGAGAGAGAACTAACAAATGCTACAGTAGAATGTTTCCATTCAGTGAGTCACACAATGACTCTAGTGCTGGAAAAGTAGTTTAATTTCCTAACTCAAAGAGCCTACATCTTTATCTTAAGGTGAATTGAAACTACCGTGTATTAAAATTCACAGTGTCTGCCTAAATTGTCATACAGAAATTATTGTTTCTCCACCATCAGGATGGAAGAACCTAATGTTGAGACAAGAACTATTCATATTTACAAAAACAACTGTGTTCTTCATTTTAATTTGAACTAACAAGCCCCATGCTTTGCCCAGCCTGCTTACATTCAAATCAGAGTTTCCCAGAATTTTTCTGATCAATCTACTACTTCATGAAACCAAGGTTTTAGGAAAACAATATAATCTAATCAGGGTTTTCTGAGTTTTGAAGAAAATAACTTTCTCTCCTTGGTGATAAACTATTAATGGCACAAAGCTTATTTCAGTAAATATGTAAATGTATCATAGCTTTATGAGAAATTGAACTTAATATGTTGACACATATTAAATGTAAACAGTATGTAGATATTTTACATTTAGATGGCTCAAAAGCACTTTACCTGTCCAAAGTGTCATCGGATGAGTATCTACTAATTGTGGCTTTTGTTTCATCTTTCTCATTTATTTTCCTGTATCAAAAAGTTACCAAAAGATCAAATAAATTACAAGAAATACTTACAAGATCTACCATATATATGACAAATTTTTTAAACTTATTTAGGAAGGAAATGTGCAGATTTGGATTTCCCAAATCTTCCAAAGTTTTAACATGGACAGAATATTTTACAGAAAACCTAGTTTCCAATGTGAACAAAGTATTTTTCCACCCATTTTTAACTATAATATAACATTCAAATTGGAGATAAGGCTATATAAAACAAACAACATAACATGCAAAATGGTTACTATCTAACACATACTCTTGTCAATGTTGTATATTTTTGCATATAAATTTAATCAGCTATCTTTTGTTTGCAGAATTTTATTTTGTTTTTGTAGTGTTTCAGCAATGTCATAAAACCACATAATGGGCCAAATTCTAAATAGCTTTATTTATCATTCAGCACCGTGGACAGGGTTAAAAGATAATGCAGGGACAGAGGGAGCAAAAGGGAAGAAAGAAAAAAAAAGAAGAAGAAACATAAAGACCCGAGAAGAAATGAAAAAAAAAGAAAGAAAGAAAGAAAGTGGGAAATGAGAGAAAGGATAGATGTGAAAAGAATCCAGGACACAAGGCAATGAGAGAAGTGAAGGATAACAGGAAAAATAGGATAAGAAAGGCAGAGAATAGGAAGCTCAGAAATAGGAATTATGGCCATGGCAGCAGTTTGATCCAATTGATCAAAGAAACAAAAAGCCTATTTCATGCCTCTACAAGCAAGCTCTTTGAGAAACTGTGCTATGATTTTTCTTGCAGTTAAACCATCATTTGGAGGTGATACAAAAAGATGCTGAATTGGAGTAATCAGTAAGACGGAATATTTGAGATTCAATTTTAAGTGATATGGAGTATTTTCATTACACAAAAATTAGAAGGCAGGCAATATGCAAAGCATTTTACTGATGCCTGAAAGGAAGTCTAGAATGAAGTAACTATAGATGTTACCCACCCGAGGTAAGAGGGATACACCAGATACACACATCCAACAGCAGAAAGAGGTTCAGACCAAGAAAGCTTTAAGTTAAGAAAGCTGATTTGTAAATACAGGAATCAAAGAATAATTTATGGATGAGATGGAGTTTGATGTGGACTTTGGAGGATAAAAGATGAACATTTTCAGAGGTACAGAGACCAGAATCAGTGAGGGCAAGAGAAAATTCATCAAGGTTTTCAGGAAACCTTAAGGTGAAATCATGGTGTATTTCTCCTGATGTATTGTGTACATCACAAACATTACAGGGCCATCTCACAGCCCTCAGTAAAACAGGTCCTCAGCAGACACAGTCAGTTTAGACCTGTTTGCTGGCTTGATTCTTCCTATATTGTGTTAATTTACTTTCATTTTCTCCCCTCCTCCATAGTCAGTTAAGATGCAAGTTCCATGGAAGCAGGGACTTGGTTTATTCCAGTCCTCAGCTCAGTGTCCCCCTTCTAGCAGGTGTTCCATGGGCACTGGGGGTGTTGTCAGCCTTATCTGACATGGTTAAATGATTTGCCCCAGTTTGTGCACAGTAGGAGGCTGTTATCTAAGGTGATGGGAGTATGTTATTTCAGCCCCTGCTCAGGTCCACTCTTTGCAAACATTGTCACCTCTGCTGGGCGTGCTTCTTTCCCATGTCTTCCAGCCAGCGTTGCCTACCTGGGAAAACTTGAAGTATCAGTGTTCACACCAGAGACCATTTGATTGGTGAAATCTCCAATTATTTGGGCCAAGTTACTCTTTCCCCTCTATTCTATTTTCATTGTACTCTCACACATCTCTAAAATATGACAAACATTATTATTTTGGCTTATGAGTATTTTGCCATGAATGTAAGAACTCTTTAATGTACTAGATATTCTCTTATGCATGTTTTTATTCCTGGTGAATAACCAGTGGTCCACAGTGGGTTTTGAGGGAACATGAGGAAATATAGCCACTGCACATTGGCACAAAAATGACAAGTGGCATCATTTATAAAATGCTAGGAGAAGCTGTCCTACTCTTTGGGAGAGACATAGTCTTTGATGTTAGTTATAGGTCACAGGAGAAGTGTCTGGGCTTACAGATTTTTGTTAAAGAAGATAAAACACTGATGTGCTGCTTTTGCAAAAATGGTGACCACCAGTAGAAAATTTTCAGGCAATCAATATAATTTAAATTGTAAAATAAACATGGAAGACGTTAAGCTCCTGTTACCCTAAATCCTATATACAATAATAAGAAGGGTAATGTTCACTGTCACACTTCAAAACAAGGGTCTACAATCTTTAAAAGTTCTAGGGGGAGTGAGATAACATGGAAGACACAATTTCCTAGTGATTAAACTCAAATAACCAGCCTATTTTTGGGGATGGAGGAAGCCAACTGAGGACAAGCTATAATCTTCAAAAGGAGAGGGCACAGGTAGCATCTACCGAACCACAGAGCACCAAACTGGATGAAATAAAACTGGTAATGGGAAAATAAAATGGCTACTCTGTGAAGAGAGTTATAAGCTTGGCATTTTTAGAACAGGTCAAAATCATAAAATAATTTTAAACATTTGAGAGAAATTCCCAGATAAAAGTTTCAAGAACAGGTGTATTCAAGATTTCTATTTAATTTTTTTAAAATCCATACTGTTTTACTAAGTATCTCTCACAGACCCAAGCTACTGGACCAGATGAAACTTGACCCTGATAAATATTTAAGTTCCACTGTTAGGTGTGGTTGTTTGTACATCTGTTAGGAAAATGTGTTTTAATGAGAACGTTATCTATTTATTTTATCAATCTGAGATTATTTGCATTGTTATGATTGCTAGTTTTGGTTGACTTTTCCTACTAATTTGTATTTGTTAGTCTATTTGCTACTGAGGATAAGTTTGGATTTTATCCCAAATTCAGAAGTTTCCAAAAAACCATGTACTGTCCCATAAAGCAAGTGAACTCAAGTTGTTATTTCTGTATTTAGGATTTCTTTCTTGAAGCTTTGGAGATGCTTTATCTAGTCATGTTTCTATGAAAGTCCTTTTCTTGCCCCTCAGGAGGATACCTCAGGAGGGTAATTAAATGTGAACGATGTTCTTCATCCAAGCTGTAGTTCTGAGGGATGGAGAAACACAATTTCCCCATCCCAGATTCTTGTTCACATGCCCAGAATGTCAAGGAAAGCCTGAGGCAAGCCACAAACATTCAGCTGGCTTGAACAAGTCTTCCATCAGAACCGCCATTTCTGTGTTTCTTCTAATGAGGTAAATTGTCTGCAACACCTACCTGTGCAGGGCATCATGGGAGTTATGCCTGTTGAGCACTACCTTCCCATAATTTTCATCTCTGCAAAGAAAGACAAAAATTATATCACATCAAAAGTCACTTGATGTTTGCTAAGCACTAAACAAGAGAGACAGGCAGAGCTCACAACTTCGGGCAAGATTAATTCATTTTATTTCAGGCATAAGAATACAACTGTGAATCTGTTTTAGCCAGTTACCACTTGCATGAGGATGTTGAAATCAACAAGTTTGTTAGTACCAGCAATCATTTATGCCATAAGATTTCCACATGATTTAACAATGAATAAGTGTTTTGTTTTGTTTTGTTTTGTTTTGTTTTACCAGGGTACAGGAATACCACGCAATCTACTTTATAGTAGAAGAGTCCTTTTCTTCAGGAAAGCAAGTACAAAAGCTTTCTAAAAATATTGTTCAATTAAGACCATCGTGTCTATACATTTAAAAGGACTTGACAGTTTTCTTTGACCGAATGTAGGAAAGCAACTATATTTCTGGTTAAAGAGATGATTCACAGATTAACTCATTCTTGAGACAAAAGAATAGATAAGGTTGTTGTGTGGATACTTAAAATAATCCTATGAGCTAAGCAGGAAAGACACTGCCCTCTGAAATTCACAGATTAAAAAAAGGTCAGTCTGTGGGTTTCATAAGTCCACAAGCTTTGTAAGTGATGGAAGTGGGCTGAAGACTCAGATCTTGTTATGCTAATGTTTGCTCTACAATAGACATTTACACATAAATTCACAAAGCCATGTCTTTCCTTGGCAAGATGAACTTGGAAGTATGGGCAATTTCAGGAAATGTCAGACATTTAGAGAGCCTTTGGATGGGAGCCAAAGCACAGAGCAAGTATCTAAACTGTTTTCAAGTTGATCCAACCAAACCTGAATTACCACATTTTTCATTGCTGGTCTCCACTAACAATACTTAACAATCTGGAACCATTTTAAATAAAGCTACAAATGAACTGTAGTAGGCTATTAAAAGAAGATGCATATTGAAACTGAAACAAATCATAGCAAATATATACCCTCAAAGGTCCCCAAGACAATGGTTTCCATCTTCCTGGGTTTCCCTTCCTGAAACTTGTGAGAACATAGCAAGAAAGGAGCGCTTTTTGTTACCTGAAAAAGTATCATAACCTACAGCCCAGAGTGGGGCCAGTGGGCCAGAGCTCATTTCCCCTTCATTCAGCAACTGCCTGCCATCCAAACTGGCTTTCTTGTGCCTTTGTAGGGAGGCTTGCCTGGCACAAAATCAACATTCCTAACTAACTGTGTTACCATTGATAGCTCTGTCTTTACCCATCTGTATAAATATTTGCAGTGCAAATTTTTGTATCTACATTTGACATCACACTACCACTGCTGATAATTAGAAATGCCATCTGAAACTCTGACAGAGAACCTGGGGTAATTTCATGGGAGGGAATGATTGGTGCCCAGGAGCATCAACTCCAAAAGTTAGTATTAAAACAAGAAGATTCAATAACAAGTTAATAGACATTTTAACAATGTGTCACTCAAATAGTCATATTTGGACAGTTCAGAGTAAGTGTCTTATCGTGCAGGGTTTTGCACTCTCAGGTCTGAACTTGACAGTTTATTGTTGTGGGCACTGTCCTGTGCATCATGGCATGTTTCACTGCATTTCTGGACAGTACTCACTAAATGTCAGGAGCAATCCCCAATCCTGACAGCTAAAACATCTTCCAACATTGCCAAAGCCCTCTGGGAGTGAAAGTGCCCCTCGTTGAGAACATTGGCATAATGGTTAGGTTAATAACTCTAATTTGCCGCTGGACAAATTACACAACCTCTCTATGCCTAGGATTCCTCTCCTGTAAGATGAAGATATAACTACCTTTTGTGTTTGCTGTGAGATTTAGCGATGGTTCATATATCAAGTTTCTGGTATTAAGACGGACATACAGGAAATCAGACAATGTAGACCAACTTTAAAATATATAGCTCACTTATATAAATATAGATCTAGGCTGAGATCTGTTGGAAACATATGTTGACAATGAAGCTGCGTTCCTGTGGTTGTAATTTTCAGATTTTTAAATTCATAGCTAACAAGAGCAATGTTTGAAGCAGACAAAACTTTTCTGACAGCAAGTGTTTATATCACAAAGCAATGGCACATTTTCTGCCCTCCTAATATGTAAAGGTAGATGGCTAGATGGGGCTTAAGTAATCAGAGGATATCTTGCTTGGTTGTGTGCATTCAGGAACATAAAGTAAATTATTATTAAATTTATAAACTTCAAATCACATGCTTATATGTTCATTTCAACTGCACATATTAGGAATGATCTACACGTTTTAGGAATCGCTCTGCTGTGGGCTATTACCTTTTCGGAAACTAGAAACTCCTATTCTCTTTTCAGCTGGCCAAGGAAGCACACATGTCTATTCTAGGTGATAACCATGCTCTCTGTCAGTAGTGATTCATATTCCCTTATCCATATGGATTTTAAAAATGGTGAAAATGATCTTGAAAATTTATGCATGAAATCATGAAAATTTATGCTTACCAAATCTATCCAAAACTTCAGTGAGAGCAGAACATTTTAGAAGGAAAAAGCCTGCTTCCCGGATAACCATTATCCTCCCAGAGAATGCCTCTCTGAGAATCCACCCACCATCCATCCACCACTCATCCATCCACCCACCTCTCATCCATCCACCCACCACTTTCCACACTTACTTTTCTTCTTCAAGACGTTTCTTGATCCAGCTGTTATCCTGTAAAAAAGTCTTTCTTTTGTTCAGTTCATGAGAAGCTTGTTGGGTCAGTGTAGCTCCTTGAGTGGGGCTTTTCATGTCTACCACAGAAGCATAAGAAGCTGAGAGAGGGAGCAGAGTGAAATTGAGCCTGGATTCATTAACCTAAAAATCTTAAAGAGCCACCTCTGATTGGCCAACACTATCTTCTAGGCTGGCAAGCCCAGTACTATTTCAAACCAGGGTGTATCAGCAAGAAAGAACAAATCCCACACCCAGTCATCAAAGATAACATATAAAATTTCCAGGTGCCAATTGAAACTCCCAGGGCCACTCAGAGGCCCCATCTGGCTCTGGGGAATGTAGATCCACCAGCCTGGAATAAACCAAGCCAGAATTTAGTGGGTTGGCCATTCTGTTCAATAAAGAAATGTGCTTTTACATTCAGAAAATATCTACTCTAAGTCCTGGCACATTTGATTATAAGTAATGGAATTCTCCATCTCACAAAAGCCAGAAACATAGAAGGTCACATTTGTAAAAGGACAATATTTTTTCTCACTTTTTATTATTTTTATTTAATTTAAAATGAGTAAAAATTATAGCACTTGCGTTTTCTTAAACCTAACATAAATAGTACTGATTAATGTTTCCAAGCATTAAATATCTATATTTAGGGGCTGGGGATTTAGCTCAGCGGCATAAGCGCCTGCCTTGCAAGCAGGCAGTCGTGAGTTCGATCCCTGGTACTGCTAAAAATGAAAAAGACAAAAAAAAAAATCTATATTTAAAAAATACAATTTGTGAGTTGCTTTTGCTAAAGTTTTTATGTCTGAGTTAAAAAAATCTACATTACCATTTCCTGTGGAAGACTTTTTTCTCAAGGGAAAATTGGTGGACATGCTGCCTTCCAGGAAGGCTCTGAAAGAACAAGGGGACAGAAAAAGCACAACAATGACATTCTGAATCTATCCATGATTTTGTCAGTGCTAACTGGGATACATTTTTCAATGACATTGACAAAATCACACAGTATGGTATAATAATACATAATACAAAATGCCCCTTAGGAGCCTGAGAGGTCATCCATTCCAGCAAATGAACTTTCCATTGCAGAAAATTAGGCCCAGCATGGTTAGTGACCCCAGTATTATATAAGCAATTGTTTGCATCAGTTTATCCATTAATTCATTTATTCAATTAAAAAATATGCACTGAGTATTACTCTCTCTAATACTTACCCAAGAGTTTTGGATGGAAAAATGATTTACACAAGTGTTGTAAAAGAGGTGAGCTTCTCAGCTCCTTCTCTAGAGAAACCAAAGTATATCCAGGCAACAGATATGCAATCAAAAGAGAAGAATCCTGATGTGTGGAAATCAGAGATCTGGGGAAACAGACACTAGGCGCCCACCACATGGTGAAAGCTCAAAGTTCCTGAGCTGGGACCTGCCCTGACTGATAAGGTTTGGAGATGGGAAGGGAACCAGCCCCGATCCAGCTCCCCAGAGCCGAAGTATGACTTGGTTGTTCCTAGGCATCTCTTTCAGGTATGCACACGTACCAAGTCTGTTAGTGTGAATACAACTGAGTGGCTTCAATATTTACATTTACTTCTATTATATTCTACTAAATTCAACATTTATATTATTTCTATTATATTTTTCTTCTGTTACTAAAAGGAATTAAAATTAGACAACTTCTGTGAATCTCTGTATTGTAAGCCTTAAACATCGTGCCCAGTCAGCCCCAAATCTCTTTAAAAGTGAAGTTTTGAGTTTTAAAACTAGAAAACAGTAGCTGGTCACACTAGGAAGGGTGTTAAGTCCTTTGCTGAAGCTCAACCAGATGGATATGGAGCATTGTAGAGGAATTCAGTTTCAGGTCAGAAGCAAGTTCTTGATACAGTTTTATCACATTGAAGTTCAGTAATAGAGCCATCCAACCACCCTGCGAAATGGGGCTAATGGAACAGTCATCTAGTTCATAAAGTAGCTATGATGATCAAATGAATACTGTACAAAAACCGTGTTGTTAAACTATAAGCACTACTAAATTTGATGCAGGTTATATTTGCTGTTTTGCTTTGTTTTTTGGATTTTTTGGAGTTTTTTGAGACAAGGTGTCTTTATGTCATTCAGACTGGCCTTGAACTCAGTGATCCTCTTGTCTCAGCCTCCCAAGTAACTGGTCTGGATTTACAGGCGTGTGTCACTTCAGGCTAATTTAGCACCATGTAATCGGATGGCTGTCTGGGGATATAACCTGGGAATTTAAAAAACTTTTCATCATACCATGCGAAAGTATCTCCTGTGATAAACAGACCTAGAGTGATAAAAAGACATCCCCACAGACAGCAACTTGCTAACCCAGGACCAAAAAATCCTTCCCTTCCCTCAAGAATCAATTTGAGGGGCCAAACTGAGCTTCTGAGCTCCCTGTGCAGCCTGGCGGAAGCTCAGCCAGTGTAGAGCTTTGCTCATCTCGCTCTGCTTCCTTTCCCTCGCTCCCTTCTCCCAAGAACTGAGTCCTGGGCACTCAGTTCTTCACAGGTTCTCAGTTTTTCTTGAGACCTAAGACAAGCACTGAGAGCCAATGAGGCAATGGTGCCATCCCCTCACAATGCTGAGAGGCGAACAGTCTTAGTGGAGTTAGAATGACCTGTACTTAAATGATCCTATTTACTGACTATGACCCTGTGGGTGTGTTATCACCTCAGGCCGTTCATCTGTGAAATGAGGTGAAGTGAAGCTATTATGAGAATTAAGTGAAGATATATGTCAGTGTATAACTATCGCCCCACACACAGTGGGATTCTCAAAAAATCCTTCACCACATGCCTCTTCAAGGAGAGAACAAAGTCACAGAGGAGGTGGCCCTGGGACAGACTTGAACGTGGGGAGCTGGCTGTGCAAGGAGTGTGAGACAGCCCCTAGTTGGCTTGTGAGGAGGATTATAAGACTTTGGGAGGAAGGGGAGGTAAACAGGCACCTAAAGATAAGCTTCTCTCTCAACTATTGGTTAATTTTGCCCTGTCTGCTGCTTCGTAAGATTCTTAGTTCACTTATTTCCAGTTTCCAAGTGGGCTCTGATGAAGATTGTTTTTTTAGCTGATGAACTAGGATTCCAAAATGATCAAAATGTTGACTACATGTTTAATGACACATTTGCAGAAACTGTAAATTCCATCATGAGACAAGAAGCAGGATAACTAGAGAAAAGGCAATCTATAATTATGTGCTTCTTTGTCTCTCCTAAGAGACTGAGCTTCCAGTTGGATAAGGTCAAAGTCTTTCTCATCTGTCCTCAGTGGCTAGGACAAATGTGGCTGCTGCCTAAGTGCTAATTATTATGTCCCTCAAAAAGCACATGTCGAACCTCGGCCCCTTATACCCCAGAATGTGACTGTATTTAGAGATAATGCCTTTAAAGAGATGATTAAGTTAAAAGGAGGCCTTAGGGTAGACACCAAGTCACTCTGCCCTGTAGTCTCGTAAGACAAGAAAATGTGGACATACACAGAAGACATAGTGACAACAGGCTAGCTGCAAATCAAGAAGAAAGGATTTGGATGAAACCAAACCTGCCACGCATTCTCATGGGCTTCCACCCTCCAGAACTAAGAGACAATAAACTTTGTTGTCTAAGCTACCCTGTCTGTATGTGGTATGTTGTTATAGCAGCTCTAGCAAGCTGATTCAGGCTGATGCAGTCCTTATGGAAAAAATGATTTAAACATTACTGAAATAGAGAAACTGCTTGGAGAGCTTGGCATCATACTATCCCTGCTCTTTGTTTCTTCAAATGTCTTACTGCACAGAGGAATTAGTAATAGCATTAACATTAGTCCACTGAGACCTAGATTGAATATGATACTCATTGGCATTGTCTTGAATTCTCATATGAGCTGTGTGAGCAGGTTTTCTTGCCTCTGACTCCCAGAGAGGACCTCAGAAGTTCAGGGTCAGTATGGAACATGTCAAAGGTGCTAAGAGGAAGAGTCAGGCTTCTAAGCCAAAGCCAACTCTTTCCTCAGCACCAGCAAAAATGCTCATCCTGAGTCGCTGTAAGATTAGTCTGACCTAGGGTGATACGAGGATGGTAGATGTCATGGACTGCCTAACTCTTGACACTTCACTCTTTCAAAATCCCATGAGCACTGCTTCCAACTCTTGGTACCAGGAGATCCAAAGGGATCACTCAAGAAATCCCTGCAGCAGATAAATTCTCATAGAATAACTTCCTTTGCATATTCCCTGATATTCCCCTCTGCTATAAAAACAGTTTCTACATGAAACTTATACATGAATAGTCAAAGCAGCATTTTCCACAATAGTCAAAAAGCTAAACAAAGCCAAATGTCCATTAAGTGATGAATGCCTACATACTCTGATATGCCCACATAACATCTTCAGTGATAAAAAGGGTATATGCCACAGCATGGATGAAGCTTGGAACATTAGAAAGAAGCCAGACATAGAAGCTGGCATGTCATAGTATTCCACTTACATGGAATTACATAATAGTAGTATCTATATAAAAGAAAGTAGATTAGTGTTTGCAAGAACTAGGAGAAGGAGAGAATGGGAGAGGACTCTTAATGAGAATGAGACTGGGGGGCATAAAATAATATTCTGGAACTAGATAGTGGTGATTACAAAACCTTGTGAATATATGTTTTAAAAAATACAGAATTTTATGGTATAAAGGATAAATTTTGTTGTATGTGAGTTATATCTCAACTAGAAACAAAAACGGGCAGCAAGCATGAACTAGAGGGTCAGCAAAAACAACTTTATACAACCCTTGCTGTTTTACCAGAACAATATTATGGAACCAAATTTTACTTCACAGGATTATCTTAGTCCCATGAGGATCCATCTAGTCACTACTAACACATATGTTACGTTGAAAGCACCCTCAATTACAATCTTCTGCATTTTGATCAGATCTCACTTTCCATTGTTGTTTTGGAAGCAAGTTTTCTTTATCAAAAAGAAAGCAGAAATAAGCATTGTAAGGAAAAGTCAGTCCTGTGCAAGAGCACGTCTCTGTGAGGCAGCAAGGTGATATAGCAGGTTATATGACAATAACAGAATGTGAAGTTTGGCCATGCAAGTACTGATAGTGTGTTTTCTGTTATTCTAGTTCAGTGAGCTATTCCAAAGTATATATGCATACGTAGCATGCATTTACTAAATAAAGTATATTTGGTAAGTATATGGTATATATAAATTTCTTATTTATGAAGTATATAACATGAACAGCTATCCCTACAGATCTAATGTTAAAATATATTTCAAAGAAAATATAGCTATATTCATTAAAACACATAACTTGTCTTCTCACACCATGTTCTACCCATGCTACTTATGCTAACTTCCCTGAGCAGAAATCTTCCCTAAATGTGGAAATCTGCCTTATCCTCTTTTAGAGAGTCAAGACTCCTTCTATGTCAGGGTTAGCACCCTTTTTCTTCATGGTTAGATCCCATCCCTAGCTGCCCTTTAGATACCAGAACTTTCTGTCCCTCAAACCCTCAACATTTTATCTGCCCCCTTCTTGTCCTGAGTCTGGCCAGTCTGAAGTAAAAATTCCCGAAGAGGTAACATGTTGAGGTGGTAGTGGTGTGTCAGGGGAAAATGATGACTCTTGAACTGGACAGCCATATGCCGAGTCCCCAGCTTTGCCACTCATGAGCTACTTGAACCAGGTCTTTGTCTCTGCCTTTGCAAAGGAGAGGTGAGAGGTGTTATAGCATCTTAAAAGATTGCAGTAGAAATTAAATGAGATAACACTTTGCAAATTATGAAATAATCCAAATCATTACTACTGTCTGAATTCTCCTCCTTCCCTACCAGAGCCTAAATGGTCAGCAGAAGTCTGGGTTTGAGGAGGGCTGAGGTGGGTTATGGTAGGAG